ACACCCAGAACGCAAAGTCCGTCAAATTATACTGTTTCTGGTAGGTGGCCTGGATACTGGTGAGTAATGACATGGACCAAGACTGTCGCTGAAATACCTCCTGGCACTTCAACATGGCATACGCAGCAACAAGACAAGCGTCGGCCGCCATTTTCGGGAATACTATGCAACGGTCAGCTGTCGCCACGCTGCAAGCTCTCGCATACCAGCCGTGCTCTGTGTCGGAGATACACGCGTGCGCAGTCCTGGGCAGCACCTGGCCCTGGAAGGTCTTCTCGTAGGCCTCCAACACAGGGCCTGGCAGCACATCCTTGTATACGAAGGCATCCGGATACTCGAGAGCCAACCTGGCATGCCGTTCGTGTTCTCCAAAAAATACCGCAAGATTGTGCAAAGGCACCAACTCTTCCGCCACGCCCAAGCGCTCACATAAGGATATACGCACAGTCTCCAGAGCAGATCTGGCCCGGGCGCGCAGAGAGGGAGCAACCCCCCGGGTGTGCCCGAGCTTGCTATCCAGAGAGACGAAGGAATACAAAAACTCCCACTCGTGCTGCTCCAGGTGGTCGCTGGTCCAGTATTCGCCACGCTGCTCGCGATAGCGACGATACGCTATGAGCCGCTGCGTCGTCCTGCAATCAACGAGATACTGCGCCAGTAACTGCTTTTTCACCTCCTCGGCCGAGACGCCCTTCTGCAGCTGCTCCAGGACAAACTCCCCGCATACGTGGCGATGTATGTCCTCAGCATTCTCCAGTAGTGCCAGCTGCTGAGGGGGCGCCTTCAGCCACATCTGAAGGTGAGCGCAATGGGCAAATACCCCGGTCTCCGCGCGATACTTGTCCACCAGCGCTCGCCCCCTCAAGCCTTCTACGATCCTGGGGAAAAGGCAATGTCGCTTGAAGCATCCTCCCCGAATCGAGCCCGACCGTACAGCACACACATAATACACACAGAACGCATACACACACCACACCACCACACACCACACACCACACACAAAGAACACACACACACCAACAACAACAACAACAACAACAACAACAACAACAACAACAACAACAACAATCATTTAAGACTGGGGACACTCCGTTCTCACCAGTGCCAGGGTTTTCATAGGAGGCGGGCAATACCCCCACTTTGTGGGGGGGCCGGTTCAAGCTCTACCAAATTTCCAAACGACTCTTCGCCACCACCCACACCCAGCTTCCCGCCCTATGACGTTCGGACACTTCACTTCGTGGCATGCGGACGACCGTGGCTACTATTCAGGGCCCCGCGGCCGACGACGACGGCGTGCGCGCGCGAAGAAAAAACGAATGTGTCCCGCATGGTATTATTTGACAGGGATGATGGCCCTGGCAGGTGCGCAACCGTTGTTGCAGAAGTTCGAAGCACGTGAAAAAGTTGCTCGCAAGAGCCCGTTTGACAGAAATGTTGAAAAAATATTGGGTTTCCTCAGAAATCCGCAAGAGCGCGCAAGATGAATGTTTGAAACTTTTGTTTGAAAAACCATTGGGTTTTTCATGTTTTTATGTTAAAATCGTTACGAAAACTACGGTTTTGGAAGGATTTCGTCTTGCGCGCGCGAGTGTGCACTTCGTGTCATTTTTTCAAAGGATTCTTGAAGTTTGGTTATGTTAGAACAAAAAATTTATCGAAAAAGTTGCTAGCAAAAGCCCGTTTGACAGAAATGTTTAAAAAGTGTTGGGTTTCCTACGAATCCGCAAGAGCGCGCGGGATGAGATTTTGACATTTTTTTGTTGAAAAACCATTGGTTTTTTGATGTTTTTATGTTAAAATCGTTCCGAACACTAAGCTTTTGGAAGGATTTCGTCTTGCGCGCGCGAATGTCCACTTTACCTTATCTTTTGCAAGGGATTCTTGAAATTTGATTATATTAGAACAAGAAATGTCATTTTATATTGTTTTTTGCAAGGGAAAACGGATTACAACAAAACAACCGGATCTGGATCACATCGTTTACCTGAGGCTTCCTCACGAAAATGATGAAAATGAGGCTGCGGCCTAGGCGGCGCTGGGGGGGCGTGCACCAGGGGGCCCAACAATAACTATTCTTTAGAATTAATCATGTTCAACAACAACAACAACAATTACTAGCACGTGGGGACAATCCGTTCTCACCAGTGCCAGGGTTTTCATACGACGCCCGCCAATACCCCCACTTTGTGGGGGGGCCGGTTCAAGCTCTACCACATTTCCAAACGACTCTTCGCCACCACCCACACCCAGCTTCCCGCCCTATGACGTTCGGACACTTCACTTCGTGGCCTGCGGACGACCGTGGCTACTACACTGGCGCATGGGTACAGTGACTTGTTGTGGTAACATTTTCTGGACGCTAGCTTAGTATACGACTTTTCCCCCTGTTCCAACACTGGACACCTGTACTGGTTTTTGGTGGTAACGTGTTCCTGACGCTAGAATAGGAAACCACGGTAAACCAGTACGACGCCGGTACTGTCTGTAGGTCCTACAATGATATGGACTGCTTTGGCTGGTGAGTGTTTAAAAAGTGTTGGGTTTCCTACAAATCCGCAAGAGCGCGCGGGATGAAATTCTGACATTTTTTTTTTTTTTTTTTTTTTTTTAAAAAAAAAAAAAAAAAAAACATTGGTTTGTTTGATGGTTTTATGTTAAAATCGCTACGAACACTAAGGTTTTGGAAGGATTTCGTCTTGCGCGCGCGAATGTCCACTTTACCTTATTTTTTGCAAGGGATTCTTGAAGTTTGGTTATGTTAGAACAAGAAATGTCCACTTTGTCTTATTTTTTGCAAGGGAAAACCGCCCGTAACAGAACAACCGGATCCGGACCAACCCGTTTTGCCGGAGACTTCCTCGCGAAAATGATGAAAACATGGCTGCGGCCTAGGCGCGGCGAGGGGGCCATGCACCAGGGGTCCCAACAATAATTATTCTTTAGAAGTAATAATGTTCAACAACAACAACAACAACAACAACAACTACAACACAAAGACTACACACACGGAACACGCACACACACGCACACACATCACACGCAACACACCCAGCACAAGTAACTTACACACAACGCACACACAGAACACGCCTTACACATGTAACACGCAGAACCCACATGAATGACCCACTCACTATTCACACATAGCACACACAACACACAACACACACATTCAATACACAAGGCGCATACCACAACTCTTACGCACCACACACACATTCTTCAGATGTGTTTGTATAGGCCTGGTCACGCACGTGACACATTTATGCATGGACCTATACATTACCATACTATTATAGGCACCTCTCCGAGGGAGTAGAGCTCAGAAGCGAATCGTTGTGAAGCCGCGTTTCTTGTTCCAGCCGCGTTGCTCGGGACACCCTCAACATTCGGAAACACGAGCGCACGCCTCACGCAGATCGCGACGTCACCGTCCAAAAGCACAGCCTCTTTCAATCAGTTCAATGTAAGACGTTCAAACACATAATGGAGTTCCATGATTTGGAGCCATATGTTTCAAATCCGCCGATCCAGCGTGTGAGCTTGGTAAAGACTCAGCTACAGCCTACAGCCTACAGCCTGAGCTTCAGCTCTGCTGAGGGGGGGCCGGGGGTGGCTGTGCCTGGGAAGGGGGGGAATGGGGGGGGCGGGACGAGTTGTGCTCTGCTTTCCGGGGGGGGCTCCTCGCGGCTACCCGCGTGTCTCTGGGGAGGGCATTTTTTGACACCCTCGCGAGGATCGTGGCCTCCGAGGGTCCCGAACTCGAGCACCCCTCCCCCCTCCCACCCCAAGAAGCTCCCAAGAGGCCCCCAATAGGCTTTTTTTTTACTCCCCCAAGCCTCCAGCGGATCCCGCCACGAGGCCCGTTCGCCGCAGACGGCGGCCCGCCTCAGGCCTGACTGGCCTGGTCCAGCTGGTCGCCCTCCAGCTCGAACGCGAACTTTGGCTGGCCCTCCAGCCTCATCTGCACCAGCGCATTCACCATGCTCACATAGTGGATCTGGTGCGCCCCCACGTGGAGCTCGCTCTCAAGCCCCGCGCCGCGCAGGCAGGACTGTCCCCTGCTCCAGCGGCTTGCCGTTCTGCGGATTCTTACCAGCCAGAATCCTGTCCCGCTTCTTCCTCTTTGCGTCATCCTTGGTGGATCGTCCTCGGGGGGCTAGCGGACCTGGGCATGCCACGCCCAAGCCCGCCCGTCGCCTCGCCGAGTGTGCCCCGCACACCACGCACACCACGTACGGACCGTGAACTTCAACACGATGGGCCCTGCCCTGCTCCTCGGGCTCTGCACGATCTTCGTGTTGTTCCTCTGGGCGCGCTGCTGCTGCTGCTGCTGCAGCCGCCGCGATGGCCACGCTGGCTTCCAACGACCTGCCTGTTCCCGAGCTGCTCGAACCTGTCGCCTGCCAACGTGGTCGTACGCAATCCGCTTGCCACATCTTTGTGCGCATCCTCTTGGACGCCGCTCGCATACCACGCCTCATGCACGCCTGCCACCCGTCCGTCTCCACGATATCGTGCTCGGTCAGGGTAAGCAAAGGCCTCGGCACCCTTCGCCCAGGTACTCCTTTCACTTTGGGCGGCACGTCTGGCCACTCACCGCCCATCTTTTGGTACCACCGACCTACATTCTGCAGCGCCCATCGCACACGCCCTGCTAGGTCCTCAAGCGCCTGGTGCTTGCCGTAGTACGCGTCAAGCTCCGCGCCCGCCTTTGCCAGCAAGCCAACCTCTCTGTTGCCATTCGCAATCTTCAGGTCCTCGCCCTCAAGCTGCTGGATCCTGGGCTTGGGCCTGTGAGCCTTCACGTGCTTTACGCAGTGAACATCAAGGTCCAGGTCCTTCACCTTGTGCCAGATCCTTCGCCATAGATCTGCACGTGGTCGCTTCCAGCTCGTGCACCACCGCTCACCATTCTGCGGGCCCTCCAAGATGCCCCTGTGGTCTGTGAAAACTAGACCTGGCGGCAGCATCCGCTCCAGCACCTTGAGAAAAGCCTACATCTCGGCTCTCTCAACCTTCCTGTGGATCGGTAACGTACACGGTAGCGGGCCCCAGAACTGCATCTTCGCTGTGCCATTGTCGGTGAGTGACATAGCTGCCCAGCCCGTCTGCGCCCAGTCGCTGTACCCGAGCTTCGGGCCATCACAGACAATGTCGCCTGTGAAATAGTCCTCATCGCCGTCGACCACCTGCCCGTAGTACTGGTCCTCCGCGATACCGACAAACTTCCAGTCCGCCTCTGGTGACTTCACCAGCACACGCGTCCACAAAATGTTGGCGTCCTGCTGCTCCGCCACGTGCTGCCAGTCCACTTGCGCCTGCAACCGCTGGTTCCTGAGCGCGTTGCACTTGTAGTACCGATGGTGCTCGGTGCCCACCGCCTCACCGCAAGCCAAGCAAATGTCCGTGGGCACGATATTGCACTTGCAGAGCTTCTCCATTGTCCACGCGCCTCCAATGCAGATCTTCTTCGCCGCATTCTTCGCATGCTTCGGGAACTCTCGTGCTCGTAACTGCGCCGCCGCTGGAGCCACCAAAGGCTTTGGGCTCAGGCTCTTGAGCTCCCCCGCCTGCGCCCACTCCTCCCAGGGGGTCGCCTGCACGTCCTTGCGCGCCATCGCCGCGATGTCCATAGGGCACACCTCCTGCATGTTCAGCTCGAAGCCCTCCTTCGAGACGAACGTATGCCACGCAGGCCACGCCCACGTAGCCCTCCTCATTGACATGATGACAGCACCTGCTGGCCCCCGCACTCGGGCCCAAGCAGGCTTCATGCCGACCTCCTGCTGCTGCCGTCGCCATGCCTGCTGCAACATGGTGCCCATGCTGTCCCACTGACCTCCTCCGTCATCGTCTTGTGCACTATGCCACACTGCTCGCGCCCACCTCACGATCGGCGCCTCGGTGACCTCGTACGTGGGCTCCTCCTGCGCCACCGCCAGCTGAAGGGTGAGGCTTCGGGCTCCACGACCACCTGGTAGTAGACGTCCTGCCTCGCGTCGTAGCTGTCGAAGCTGATGATCTGGCATGTCTAAGCACTTGCATCCATACAAGGCCGAACGCTTCAGGCCACACTTGGACACTAAGCCGACGCCCCTGGTCATCTTGCGCCCACCCTTCAAAGTGAGCAACCTCCGACTCCTAGCCTTCATGATAGCATGCCTCTTGCCGTTATTGGTCTTCGCCGCCGTGCCATGCGTGACGATGTCAACCCCCAGGCACGGACAGGCCTTCACCACTGGCAATCCTCGCTCGCGCATCGTCCCTGTCACGGCTTTTCGCGCCCACTTAGTGCTCGCCATTACGGCACCTTTACCCTTGCTGCCCACAGAGAACTTCAAGCCTAGCTTCTCGAAGCCTCGGGAGCAACTGTCGATTGTCTCTCCGAACTCCGTCACTATGTACTGGTGCTGCTGTCGTAACCGCACGCGCAAGTCGTCCACGTACATCCTCCAGCGCGCCCTCGGTCTCTCCACCACCAGGCCGTCCACCGTGGACTGGATGACCATCTTCAGGAAGCACACTGAGAACTTGCTGCCCGCGACGATGGTGGCCACCGTCTGGGTCTCGCTGGACACCGAGTCCCCCACGATGAGGCGCCTGGTCATGGCGAAGTAGGAGCACACCACTGCCAGCACCCCCGTGTTGAAATTGAGCTGCTTGCCTGCTTCCCACAACACGTGCAAGCTGACCTTCTCAAAAGCCTTCACCAAATCCAACACCGCCGTGATAGTTGCCTGCGTCTCCTCGCTCTGCTCCTCCGCGTCGTCCATCTCGTGGCTGAGCAACGCCTCCCAGGCCGCGTCCTCCGCTGCCTTGCCGTAGCTCGTGCAGTCCCAGCTCCTGTAGTTCTGCTTGGCCCACTCGACCATGTGCGGCTCCCGCATAATCTCCCACACCCTGATGGCTGTGGGCAATAAGCCGATGACCCTGTCCGTGGTGAAGGTCTTCGGGGTCATGAAGAACAACGCGGTGCCCATGTGGACGGGCCAGCGCAAGGTCCGCTCCACCTCCATGTAGAAGTCCAGCAGCTTGACGTAGGCCCCATCCGACGCACCCTGCAACATGGAGGGATGCCACCTGTCGGCGCCTACCCCCGTCTTCTTCCTGAAGGCGCGGGCTACCTCATTGAGCTTGTCCACGTCTTGGCCCGTGAAAGGCTCGAGCTTGTCGCGCTCTTCGCACTCCCACGGTCTGACCTCCTCCTGGATTTGCTCGCCGACCCTCCAGACCACGTTCCACTCCTTAAGGGTGTACTCCGCTGCCTCGATGGGGTCCGCCGAGCCCTCCGTGGTATCTGCCCTGCGTGGCCTCCATACTGCAGCTGCCTTGCTCAGCTTGTGTAGACCACCAGCTGCGCCTGCAGCCGCCTCCTGCAACCTGTCTGCCCACCGTGCGCGCCGCTCCTTGAACAGCTTCTGGTCGTACTCCTTCATCTTGCAATGGCTCTCCTGCATCCATTGCTGCAACTTCGCCTCTTGCTGCGCTCCTCGAAGTAGCCCAGCGGCCAGCAGCCCGCACCTGGCCTGCCACTTGCCCTGCTCCTCAGCATTGAGGTGCTTTGCCCGCTGGCGCGAGATGATGAATTGGTGCTCCTGCGCGGTTGCCTCCTGCTGCCGACGCCTCTGGATGTCGCAAGTTCTCGCCATCTTGAGCCTAGAGCACGCTCCATGCAAGTTCTGCAAAGCCTTCGCCAACCACCACCACCAGACTGCTTCTCTGGCTGCTGGCGGCACGTTGGCGCCACCGAAGCTGAGCGGCTTGATCCTCCAAGTCGGCTCCTCCGCGCGTCCTGCTGCAGGATGGTCAGGTGCCCAAAACAAGACCTCGCGCTGCAAAGGCCTCCTGCTCCAGCGTCTGCATGCACTGCCTCCACTTCTGGTTGGCCTCCTCCTGCGACCCGAAGCTCACGATGTCTTGGTACTGCGGCGGCGCTGGTGCGCAGCCAATGCCCAGCTCTGGCAAGGCCTTCGGCTTCTCCAGCACCCTAACCAAGCGCTCCTGCACCTTTAGCCTGAGAGTGAGCCTCACTGGCTTGTGAGGCGCCGGCGGCCACTCCTCCTGCACTCTGACGTACATCACCTGATTGACAAGGCTGTCCGAAACGATGAAGTAGTCGATCTCGCTTACACCGTGCGCATGTCTGCACGTGCCGCACCTGGCTCCTGACGCCACCACTCGCGCCTTGGCCATCTTGACGCTCTCCACCTCCGTCATCTTCTCTAGCGCTACCTGGAAATCGCCCCCGATGATCCACGGCACTCCAAGCGCCTCCAACTGTCCAACCACCTTGTTGATGATCTCCGTGTTCCTGAACGTCATTCCCTCCGCCGTCCACAAGTAGACCGACGCATAGATGATGCCCTTGCCGACCGATAACCATGCCGCTACAGCCCTCCCTGGACTGTTGCGCGGTGACAGGTCCCACTTCTCCTTGCCGTACAGGTAGGTCATACCGATGCATCTGGGCGTCACCAGCGCCACGCCCGCTGAGGCACCTGCTTCTCCACCTGGTCCTATAGTTGGGTTCGCTGCTACGCCGCCGAACTGGTACCCCTGCACCTTCATGCTCTGCGACACTACTGCGATCCTGTCGTCCGTGAGGCGATGCTCCTGCACTGCGTAGCACTGCAGCTTACCCCCATCAGAGCCCTCGATCCTCTCCTTTATGGTGCCCCACCCCGAGCCGTGCTGGACCGAGTGCGGCTTCGTGCTTCGCTTGGCATCCTTGGCTCGCATGTAGCGCTCCTGCGCCTGCTGGTACTCGGTAGACTGGTCACCCCACTCGGACTTGCACGACTGGGCCCACCTGAAGAGCTTATCCAAGTCAACAGGCTTCTCGTCGTCATCCTCCTGAGTGGCGTGCTGCTGCTTCTTGAGGCCCTGCAGCTCTGCCCGCATGAAGTCCACCTGCTTCTGGAGCGCCGCCTCCCGCTTCGTCGGGCCCTGCAGCACGTCCTTGTACGAAAGTTCTTTGCGCGGTCCAAGGGTCCCACACCCCCGACACTTCTTGCGCGTCGCGTAGTTGTCCGCCGTCCCACAGCTGCAGGACCAGTAGCCGTTGTACGAGCGCGGCCAGCCCCCTGCCGACATCGTGCGCCCGTCTGCCGAACGGTAAACCGATCCGCCTGCCGCGGATTAGCGGTATCCCTTTGACCACCAGGGCGGAAGCCCCACGTGATAGTCATCTTGAGCCAAAATGGCTACGGAAGAGGCCCCCAAGAGGCCCCAAGAAGCTCCCAAGAGGCCCCCAAAAAACTCCAAGAGGCCCTAACGAGGCCCCCAAGAGGCCCCAAAGTGGCCCCAAGAAGCCCCGCAACTGCCCAAGAGACCGGGGGGGGCCTCAAAACTGCCTCCCAGAAGCTCCGAAGAGGCCAACCACGAGATCCCAACCAACATCCACGAGGCCTCTGACCCACCACCCAGGCACGGTGGCGGGACAGGTCGAAGGCCACTAGCCAAATGCAGAGTGAGAAGGGGAGGGAGGGAAAAAGAGAGGAGGAACGAGGGCGAAGGAGGATCACACCAGTCGGATCGCCCCGGATCGACGGCACTGGCCGGAGGCCACTACAATATTTCATGTTCGCCTGAGACATCTCCAACATTCCGGCCCCTTTTCCGACACACTTCGTAAAACAAACAAGTTTGCCTGAGACTCCCTCCCAACATCGAGCCCCGACGTACAACACACAGAGCATATACACAGAACGCACACACACCAGACAAAGGACACCACAAACAACACGCGCAGAAACAAACAAACACACACAACACACGTACAACCGAGAACACTCAAGAGGAACGCATACAGGCGCACACACATAACACTCGCATCACATACAACACACCTAAAACAAGCCCCACACACACTTACACACACCTCGCACTCACACACAATACACCTAACACGCAGAAGGCAGAACACACAATCCACACATAACTCACACACAATACACAGCACGCACACACCAACATACAATGCACATAACACACACCCTACACACCACACACACATCCTGAACATGTGTTTGTGGGAACCTGGGCACGCACGCACCACTTATATCAAGAATGTAACCCTATGCGGGTGCGAATCGCACCCTGGGAGTAATGAAATCCGGGGTCATGGGAGTTCCCTGAGTTATCGATGTGGGGATGTCTGAATGGGTCTTGAGTGACCTCCAAGCTAATCTGGAGAAGATTTCCTGTGGAGATTCTTGAGTAGATGGAGGAGGAGGAGATTTCCAGGAAATTTCCAAGCTAAACGGCTCAGGCTGGTATCCTCCTCCTCGTGACTCATGGTTGCTGTTTGCCGATGGAAGAAAAAAAGGCGGTGATGAAAAAGCTTAGACGGGGCACGGAGGGAGGAAGGAGAGGAAGAGTGCAGTCACAGAAAAGGAAGGAAAGGACGAGGAAAGGGAGGAGTACAAGGAGGACGAAGAGGAGGAGATTTCAAGAGAAATCACAGTTCCGAACCTATCAAATGCTATGTGTAAAAAGGAATGATGCCGGGTGGTGCTCTACTCGTCGAGTAGGAGTACGCATGGTTGCTCTTTGGGGGTGTGAGAAAAATGACGGCGATCATCAAGTGCGTCCCCTCTTCTTTCCTCTTCTCTCCTCCTCTCTCCTCCTGTCCTCCTCTGCATCTCTTCTTCCTCTCTCCTCTCCTCCTTCTTCTCCTCCCTCTCCTCCGCCTCCTCCTCCTCCTGCTCCTCCTCCTCCTTCTCCTCCTCTCCCCATCGTTCTCGTGAGCCCAGCGCCCAATATCCGTTTCACAACAGATCTCACTATCGGTCTCACAATTGATCTTACTATCGGTCTACCAATCGGTCTCACTATCGGTCTAACAATCGAGCTCTCCTCCTCCTTCCTCACGAAATCCATTATAAGAATTACTCGTGGTGCTATGCATGATATGAAGATGAGACCGACGATGCAAACTTTGGGGGTGATTTCAAAGTTCACCCAAAAATCGCCCCCCGCGCCTGTTGTGCAGTTTGAACCCACATGCCAACCGTGGATAATCAGATAGATGGAGTGAAGAAGGGGGGTCACATTTATTATCCGCGGCATGCGATTAGCCGGAACTTGCTCCAGACGGCTTTCAACATGCCTCCAGGGGGCCCCTCAACCTCCCCAAAGCGGATCGAGATGGCACGGAGCCTCCCAACGAGACCCAGTCTCCCCCCCAACACCCAAAAAACATAAGAACATACGCGATGTGTGCCTCCTCGCATTTTCGTCTAACAGTGGGTCTGGAGGCCTCAAGATCACTTCAATGTCGCCCAGGAACGCCCCCAGAGGGGCCCAAGAGTGATCCAAGATGACCCCAAGAGCGCCACATGAAGGCTCCAAGGGGCGGCATTTCGCGCTCTGGCGAGGCAACGCTAATTAAAGATCCCCCTTCGCTCAAAGCCCAAAGTGTAACACGTGGTTGATTGACTCTGGCATCTCGAGGGCATCCTTCCGGGACCAACATGGCTAGAAGCCTTCAAGATGGCGCAACTGGATCACAGATGGTTCAAGATAGCCCCACAGCATGCCTCCAAGAGGCCCCAAGACGGCTGCACGCGGCCTCGAAGTCTCCCGAGGGCGCCCCCGAGAGGCCAAACTCACTCAAAGCCATATGCCTCCTCAATGTTCGGGGGCCCCTCGCCGTCTCGCGCCTTGCTCTCTTTTGTCCCGGCCCTGCCCCGGGCCGAGCGGACGGCCCTGCTGTGCCCGCGGGAGCCGCCGGCCACTTTGGCGCCGCGGCCGCGCGGGACTCCGCGACCCCCCCCCGACGGGCAGCGCCGCCGCGTCGAGCGGCGGCCTGCGCGCAGGGGGGGCGCAGAGAGGAGGCAGAGAGCGTGCAAGGCGCGCGCTGCCCCCGAGTAGCTTTGTCGCCGGGGGCCGCGCGCCGCCGAATACTCGGCGCTGGGGCGCGAGGCCGCGCCCTCTCGGGACCGGCGGGGGGCGCCTCGAGGCCGCAGCCCCGCCGAGGGGGGCGGCACAGGCGCTGCGCCGCGCGGGGGGGTCTCGCGGAGCGCGCGGAGGCTCTCCCCCCCCCACGACGGCCGCGCCCCCTCGCGCGCACGCGCGCCTGCCTTGGGCAGGGGCGCGCGCGCCGCACAGGAGCACGCCGTCCAGCGGTCGTGCAGCGTGGCGCGCGGAGTGGCGGAGAGAGGGGCGCGGGCCTGCGCCGCGGCCTCGGCCCGCGCCTGGCTCACTCGCATCCCATCTGCTCGTTCTGGCAGCACCAGACCTTCTTGTCGGCCGACCATCCGGCGCGCCAATTGGAGTACCCGGCCTGGCAGTCGAATGGCTTCGACGTCGTCTCCGGACAGCCCACACCTTTGTTGGGACAGCACCACGCCTTCTTGTCGTCCGACCATCCGGCCTTCCAATTCACGAATCCGGCAGCGCAGTCGTACGGCTCGGACGTCGTGGCGGCCGCTGGGCCAGGGACCAGTACCTGCTGCGGGACCAAGGAGGTCGTGCAACCCATCTGCTTGTTTTCGCAACACCAGACCTTCTTCGGCACGGACCAGCCCGCCTCCCAATTTGAGTAGCCCGCGGCGCAGTCGTACGGTTCCGAAACTGGCTGCGGTGGGGGCGGAGGCGGCGGAGGTGGCGCCACGGGCGGGGGGGGTGGCGGCGGAGGTGGCGCCACGGGCGCGGGAGGCGGCGGGGGCGGCGGCGGGGGCGGCGGCGGGGGCGGCGGCGGAGGCGGGGGCGGCGTCGTGGGGCAGCCCCTCCCCGCACTCAAGCAGCATGTCACCTTCTTCGGGATATCCCACGCCTGGGGGTCGCCCTCACCGCAGTCGACCTTCTTCTCACTGGTTGTAGGTGGAGGCGGGGGCGGCGGCGGCGGCGGCGGGGGTGGCGGCGGCGGTGGGGGCGGTGGCGGAGGCATCGTCCTCTCGGTAGTTGTCTTCTTGGATGTGGTCGTCGTTGGGACCAAGTCTGGCGGCGGTGTAGTGAACACCGGAGGCAGAGTGACCGCGGTCGTAGTAGTCGTCGTAGTCGTGCTAGTGGAGCCCATCATCGCCCAGACAAGGAGCGGAAGCGCCAGGAGGGCCAGCAGCACCGGGGCGACGAGGCAGACGCAGCAGTTGGGCCCTGCCGCCGGGAGCCTCAGGACGCCGAACTCCCCAACGCCCGCGCCAACGTAGCGGTAGGACGTCTCCGTCGTGTAGTCGCCACAGCCGGGGCCCACGTACGACAGCGTGGTGAGCCCCCCGGCGGGGCCTCCGCCGCAAGCGGCCCCGCAGCACTCGGCGCCGGCCGCGCCGCCCGTATGGCCGGCGCCAGCGGCGCTGGCGCTGAGGCCGCCGTAGCCGCTGGCGAGCCCGCTGCCATACGCGCCTCCGTGGGATCCCATCTGCATGACGCCGAGGGCGCGGCGTGGAGAAAGATGCCTGGACTTCGAGCGAGGCTGGAGCAGAAGCCAACAAAATGACGGCTGGATCCCAAAACGTCTACGGATTGCTTCGCCTGGTCGCTTCTGCTGTGCCTCAGCGAGGCGTCAGAATGGCCCCAAGATCGCCGAAGCGAGCCTTGACGAACCAACAACACACACCCATACCCATAGGGGGATCGGAGAGGGCTATGGGTGCGTGTTGTCGGATGGGGGTCCCCGCTCGAACGGGAGCGTTCTCCAGGGTCCGACAACCCGCACCCATACCCATAGCCAGTCCTCCTCCCAACCACCTATGGGTATGGGTGTGTGTTGTTCGTTCGTCAAGCCTCCAGATGAGTCCCAGGGGGGCTCCAATACGGCCCCAGGAGGGCCCAAGAGCGTCCAAAGAGAGCTCCGAGAGGCGATGCTTCGGGCTCCGACCGAGGGAAGGGGACTGCAGCCGTCGTGCTACCAGGACGAGCGGCGGACACAGCGGAGGCCCCACCACAGGAAACCTTCCGCAGGAAACCCGACCCTGAGACCCCAGGACCCTCCCTTGATATTTCTGGTGTGGGAACGCCACGCCTCCCACGGCAACGCCATCGACACCCAAGAAAAACCCAGGGCACCCCGCAGGTACGCAGGGCGTGCCTTGGCACGGGCTCCCACTGTGAGGCACGGGTGGGGCTCCTCCGGCCACGGCGGGCCTCTCGGCAGCGCACGGTGGACCCCTGACCCAGACGTGACATGAACGGCCCGACCGCCCGAGCCCGCCCTGAGCCCAGCAGGGCCCCTCCGTCCGCGCGGCCTGCCTGCAACCCACCACACGCAGAAGGCGCCTGTACACCACCACCGTGCCGAGCCAGGGCCATCCCGGCTTGGAGTATGTACGCCCCCCCCTGGCCGCGGCCAGGAGGGCCTGTACCTGTGCACCATCCTGAGGCCCAGCATGGCCCTGGCCCGGCACGGCGGTGGTGTACAGACGCCTCCGTCGGACCTCACCCCGGCCCCGACCAGAATCCGCCCACGACCGGCCCCCAGGCCGCGGAGGGAAGTCTCTCCTGGCCGGTGTGCCGAGCCGCGTCCGGCGCCACCGCTTTTTCGAAACTGCAGCGGGCGCGCGCTCCCCGGACAGCGAGGGCCCGTCGGGGCCCCGAGGGCCTGCGCGGGGGAGCCCCGCGGCGCGCACTTCCCTGATGGGAGGGCACCTGCGATCACGAAGCCTCAGCAGGAGGAGGAGGAGGAGGAGGAGGAGGAGGAGGAGGAGGAGGAGGAGGAGGAGGAGGAGGAGGAGGAGGAGGAGCCGCCGACGCCCCGGGCCAGGGCCGCCCTGGGTCCCCAGGGGGGGTGTGTGCCAGCACCCGCCGGGCTGCGACCAGCACGTCGGCATACCGTCGGGGCGTTGAACTAAGGAACCCTGAATAAGGAACGAGGCCCCTTGTTCCCATAAGTTAACCTTCGATTTCCTGTCGAAAACATAAGGAAAGCCCGAGGCAAGCTGTGAAACACGTAAGGAACGCGGAGCCCCTCCCCAACGAAAAGGGTTCCTTCTTCAGGGCCCCGACTGTACCATCCCGGGGCCCAGGGGCGGGCCTGGCCAGGGGGGGTGCTGGGAACATGGCTGCCCTGCGCGGGTCCTGCTCCTTGCCCAGCTCCTCCGAGCGCGCGGCGTTCTTCGAGATCTGCTCGCCCGTGGAGGTCTTCACCTCGGGGCACCGCAAGGGCCTGGCACGGACTCCGGCCTGGCAGCTCGCAGCGCCGTGTCTGGCTGCACCCTGCGGACGAAGCAAACTGCATATCGCCAGGGCAAAGTCCCCTTTTCACCGACAACCGAACTCTAGGTTTCCTAACTGTTCCCGTCGGGCGCCCCGTGATGCGCGACTCGAAGTCATCTTCGCGCCTTCGCGCCACCATCCTGGAAGAGTGCACACTTGCAGCTCGGGCCGCGAGTCGCGAATCGTGATGATGTTCGTGTCTCGGGGGTGCGACCTAGAATGTGGGACAACACTGGGGACAGTCGATGGCGACCTCGAGTGGTATCAAGGCCACCCTTGAAAAACCTGCAAAACAACACCAGGCCCGCTGTCGAGACACGCCCCGCTCCAACCAAATACCCGCGATAATAATCCCGCGGGGAAAAAACAGTACTATAAACCAAACACGCGTGTAATAAACACCCACAACTGTTAAACAAAACTGCCGCGAACGAGATTGTCTGGGGCATTGCTCAAATCGCGCCATCGCGCACGTGCAACGGCACAACTCTATAAACGCAGAAGCGCGTTTGTTTACAAAACGCGCAAAGACTGTTTTGAAACAACGGAAAAATGCTTTTACATCGATTTGTAAAACCGGGCACGTCGCGACTCGCAATCGTCGCCGTGGGGGCGTGTCGGCTAAAACGCAGCCTTCTCTTTGGAGTCCCGAACGGTGAGGTGAGAGACCGTGCGGTGACCTCGAAATCCTCCAAGACCTCACCGCACGGTCCGTCAGCGCACGGTTTTGGGACCATGGAGGCTCCAATCGCCCGAGACATCCTCGGAGAACGACTCAAATCCCAAAACCGTGCGGTGACCCCAAATCCCCACCGACTCACCACACGGTGTGGTCACCGCCCCGTTTGGGGGTCCCTGGTCTCAGAGCGTTCCGCTACGCTCTGAGAGCGCTCCGGAACGCTCTGGAACGCCTCTGCTCTCGTCCCAGCCCCGTCCGACCGAGCCGCACTTTGCCCAGTCCTGGGAGCGCTGCGGTTGAGCATCGCTTCTCCGACCCTCATCCCCGGCGGCGTGGCCCAGGCCCCTCTGGCCAATCTACCCCCCTAGATGGGGATGCAGGCCGTCCCCTTCGGGTTTCGAGGGGTGTATCCCCAAGTGGGGTGGTAATTTGGTGGGGGTCTCGAAAGGGATGAGGATAAGGATGGGGGTCGGTTCAACGATGCTGAGCGGTGGCGGAGGACCGTGGCCAGAGCAGGCGGTCGCCTTGTCCACGTTGTCGGCGGCACGCTGCATCCCCGCCTCGAGCTCCTGAGGCCAGCGCCGCGCAACTAGGGAGGCTAATCTGAAGGGGCCCTGGGACACACAAATAAATACACACAAATAAAATTATTGCCTATATTTCCGATATTTTCTGGGTTTTTGTTTTCCCCCTCACTTCCCATATTGTCCCATATTTTCTGGGGAATCGCCGACTAATTGTGTCTGTGTGTTTCTTGCCCTCCTGATAGTCTTCGCCCACCTACACGCCCTCGGCAGCCTCTTCCAGGGCCGTGCTGCTTGCCGCCCGTCCCTTCGCCGGCATCCCACTTATGTCGCTGGTAACAACAGAGATGCGAGTTGCGTCGCGCTTTTCTCCTCTGCCGCCTCCACAGCCCCACCCTCCGACTTCACGGGGAAAAGCCTGAATACGAATCAAACTAATCCTTAGACAACTGACAACATATCCCACGGCTGTGGCAAACATGAACATGGACAGCAGCGTGTGACGGTCGGCGCGGACATCCGAAACACATTATGTGTACATAGTTTCCTGTTTCTCGTCCAGAAGTCTTTCACAAGTGCCGCCCCTGCCCTCCCTGGCAGCCGCGCACCTTCACTCAAACCGCTCGGGTCCACCGCCATTTTGCCATGTTGAGCGGAACATCGGCGGTGGACAAACCTCCCTTTAGTGAACCACCTTTTTAGTGGAAACGGCCTAGGACCTAAACCGACGGACCTGGACCCGCAAACATAACGCCCGCGACTCCCTCTCGCGAACCGAACACGGCCAATTCACCAATCGACGTGTCAGGGTAGGAAGCCTGTCAACCTCCGAGAACACCCGACCAAATAAGGCGGAGATCGCAGAGCCACACGCGCGCGTCATTTCTGATCGGACGGGGCTTGGCGGCAGAGCAAGGCCGCAGGCCTCCAAAGTTTGTGGCAATCGTCGTCTTCCAGGGGCCACTTTCGGATCCGAGTGGTATACAGCAACCACCCAGTACAATCAAACAACGCATTGATCAAGTCAAGGCATCGGAGGTCAGGGTATACTCCTCACATCGTCGGGTGCGTGAATCTACCCAAATCGCAGAAGTCAAATTCTTTTCGCGACGGGGACCCCTGGGGGTCTCGACCCTTTCCAAGGTGCAGGTGTTACATCCAGAGTTCTATGTTGACGGTCCTGGGGTCCCCTCGGAACTGAACGTTGCCAAGAACACCTTTCGTATTGATTCCTGCGCGGGGCGAGAGGGTCTGGGTCTGGGGGTTACCACAAGTCGACCACAGGGCCCATCCTGCAGCGCGTGCCGGCAAGGACTTCAAGGCAGATCCAGCCGCGGCGACGAGGAGCCTCCCATGAGCCAACGCAAATCGATGAACACCCAAGGAACTCGATCCTCGAACCTTGATAATTGACGTTCGATCCCGGGGGTCCGGGGTGACGGGCGCCTCCACGAGGCCGCCAGCAGCATCGAGGGCCGAGGGCAGAGCAGCAGCGCTCTGCGAACCCCAGGGCTCTCGGAAGCGGGCGGCACGGGATCCGCCGCTCCGCTGTGTCGCTGCTGGTGTGTCGCCAGACGCCGATGTCTGTTGACTCCTTGCGAAGAACGGCCCGAGGACGGGGAGGTTCGATGATCGAGCAGGGCCTCCCAGCCCTCGTGGCCGCGGCTCGAGCATTTCGCGCGAACGGAGAGGAGGGCTCCAGCAGGTGGCTTCGAATGGACTTTGATGCTTGTTGTCTGGTTCATGCTCTTTCGTCCTTGGAAGCTTCCGGGTCGCCGCGGGTCAGAACCCCCCTCGGAATTCTGGCCGGAGCGCCCCCGAGGACAGGTCCTGGGATGGATGTCTGACCACCAGGCCCCCCCCACCGCACCGAGGTCGACATGCGCCAGATTTCAGGTCGGGCATGTCCTCCTGCAGGCGGATTTTGGACGAAAAAATGAAAATTTCTCAACAACATTCAAACACAGTCAAAAAATAATCGACGCATTTTCCCCAGACGATTTGTTGACTGTACCATTTAATCTGACTCCTGTAGAGGGACCCGCCCGACTTAGCACCAGGACTCCTGGTGCTCGTGCGTGTGCCGTTGGCTCTCTGCTCCCGGGCTCTCCTGGCGGGCCACTGCCCGACCTGTGCCACGTGCACGGAGCCGCGCCCCTGCCGCTCCTCTCCCCCATCTCTCCTCCTCCTCCCCCATCTCCTCCTCCTCCTCCTCCTCCTTCTCTTCCTCTCCCTCCTCCTCCTCCTCCTCCTCCTCCTCCTCTCCTCCTCCTCCTCCTCCTCCTCCTCCTCCTCCTCCTCCTCCTCCTCCTCCTCCCCTTCTCCTCCTCCTCCTCCTCCTCCTCCTCCTCCTCCTCCTCCTCATCCTCCTCCTCGTCTCCTCCTCCTCCTCCTCCTCCTCCTCCTCCTCCTCCTCCTCCTCCCCCCGTCTCCTCCTCCTTCTCCTCCCTCCGCCCCTTGAGCTCCTCCCCAGGCCTTCGAACCTGGCCGGGCCGAGTCCGTGTTGCCCGGAACCCACCGCCCTCATGAATGCTTTCGGCCTCCACTTCACGGCATTGCACCTTCTGGCGCGCTGGGAAACATGCGGCGGACCTCGGAAGCCCTGAACCCCAAAACGTTTTCAGCTCTTGGAGATACATCTTTTACTTCCGCTAGCTTCCGCCAGCCTTCCGCCAGCTTCCGCTGGCGGAGCCAGCCTCGTTTTACTTCCGCCGACCTTCCGCCGAGGAAGACACGACAACTCCGAACCCCCACATGTGCCTCTCACTTCCCGAGAAGCGCGTGCCGTCTGGAACGAACGTCACGGTGCACCCTCTCACGCGCAAGCCTGCCCCCGTCTCCCCCCGCCGCCTCCCCACCCGCCGGGACTCCGGAGTGGGGGCCGGGAGCAGGACGGGGGGGGGTCGGGAGGCGCACTCCGCCCTTGCGAATCTCAATCGGTTAGATCCACGGGAGGTGCAACACCCACGCCCGTCCTCCCCAGCGGTGCGGTGGCGGCTGTGCGCGGACAGTGCAACCGCACGAGCATCCCAAAGGCGATCTCCGGATCGGGAGAGGTCCGATTCGAGGTCTCTCGAAGCGCACACGGGTAAGGGCAAGATAGGAAAAGGTAAGCACACGTCTGGGGCGCAATCCAGCCAAGGACTGGGAGAATAGCTGAGAAACTGGTGCGAGCCCTTCGAGAACTTGATTATTGCCCTTAGCGCGGAAGGGACGCATATCCCCACGACGCTCTGCCCTCGAAGCGACATTGTCTGGAGGTGGGCGCTACCTGGCACACAGATCATGCAGTTGACGACTCTGGCGACACACACACACAACGCTTGGCGATGCAGTCATGCATCCGCTTGCAATGCATATGTCAGTAGTTCCTCCCGCATGCTGGGTCAGCGTGGCCTTCTGGCGCCACGAGGCGGCCATGGCCCGTGTGTGCCGCCCCAAGCTGCCCCCAGAGTGGGAGCGCCTCCTCTTCAGCGAGGCGACGCCTGCCACTGGGCGCGGGCTTGTTGAGGCTGGCACATAGGTAAATGTGACTGGGGCGGAAAAAAAAATGCCGGGTTACTGAGATAGAAAAAAAACATTTGCGTAACCATAAACTGTTGGCGCTCCGCGTGGATTTCTTGGATCCGCGCTGGTCCCTCCTTCCTGGCGCGCGGAGCGCGACGAGGGCGGCGCCGGATGCGCCGCCGAGGGGGCCCCGCACGGATCCAAGAAATCCGCGCGGAGCGCCAAAAAAATATTTTTTTGTCGTTGCTCCTTCTTCGAGAGATGTTACTATGGGGGGGGCCCGCCAGGGGTGCCGTGGAAGCCGGACGAGGGCCCGGCATGCTGCGCCCACTGGCCATCGCTCGGGCGCCCAGTCTCCGTGCATCACTCGGTTTACGTGCGTGTGTTTTTGCTCTCTGGCTCGAGGATCGCCAGGAACCTTTGTGTCTTGGCCCATCGAGTCGCTGGCCCAAAGCGAGACATTACGAAGCGCATCCTAAATGTGTAATGTAATGTGTCTGGCCCGTTTTGGTTCCTGGCTCTTTGGCTCGGCCAGGATGCGCTCCGATGGCCCTCGCCGAGAAAACAAAGGCACACGCCCGAGCGATGCCAAGCCTGACTAGGGCAGGCGCGGCGGGCCCAGCCGGTGCGCCTCCGGGCCCACTCGTTCGTGCCCTCCACGGGCCACGCGGGCAGGCGCAGCCGGGCGCCTCCCACCCTCGGGGGGACGAACGGGCAGGGTAGCAGAGGCTTTGTGGGCCCCGGAAACGGCAGGGCCGTTTCTGTCACCGTTCCCCAACCAAAAAATCCCTGGAACATAGAACCGGTAACAAAAACGGCCCTGTCGTTTCCAGGGCCCACTAGGAGCAGAGGGAGGGCAGAGAAGCAGCTAACGTAGTCAGCTGGTTTTCCTGGCGCCTTCAGGCGCCGGGAGGCGCCCCATGTATCGAGGAATGGGTCTGGCGGCGGGGCCGAAGCCAGCTGCAAGCAGCAGATGTCGTACCCCCCCGCGCCGCCATCTTATCCTTTCGTCTGGCCCGACAACAACAATGGGATGGGTGGCGCAGGGGCAGGCTGGGGGGCGATCGACCCAGCAGCCGCAGCTGTACCTGGAACTTCGCGCCTTGCCGAGTCCAGAGCGGATAATTACGCCCAGCCGTTCCTTCGGAGGAACATCGAAGCAGGGCCTTGCACACAGAGGTGAGGCATTGGACCAACATTTTACCTTCAACGATCCCAGATACTAAATGTGTCCATGACGGCAACTGCTGGGACTGGAATTATGTGGTGTTGTTGCTCGTTTTTTGTCGCTCTCTCTCTCTCTCTCTCTTTCTCTCTCTCTCTCTCTCCCTCTCTCACTCTACCCAGTTCTCTCGTGGGTATGTACCAGTGTGTATGTGTGCGCAGGCTGGAGTGTGTGTGTGTGTGTGTGAGAGACTGTGTGTGTGTGCACGCGGCACTTAATTAAGACTGGTTGAGCTGGCCTCAGACTCACGGTGATCTGAATCGCACCTCGTTGATGCAGACAGCCATGGACAGTGCGCGATGGCCAGCCAACGAATGTTTCGATTCAACGTCTCAGTGACCGGCGGTGACCAACCGAAGCTGTGAGGAAAGCCCACACGGCCGTCGACATAACTACCGTTAAGTCGGGCCAGTCCCCCTACAAGGGGATGTTGGACGACAAATAAACAAGACTCACAAAATACTCAAAACATGACCATAAATACCCCCCAAAAATACCTATATTATTTATTACTATTTTTGGATTTCCCCTCTGTAGAGGGACAGGCCCGACTTAAAACTACCGCGTGGAAGCACGACATCTGCTTCTCGGAGGATGGGGGGCCGACCGCCTCCTGCACTCGAGCCGAGGCCTCCTCCTCCCCCCCTCCCCTAGCGCGAGGGCGCGCCAGAGATAGGAGGGGAGGGGGGAAGAGGATGAGGATAACGACTATGACTACGATCAGGTCGGGCATGTCCTCCTGCAGAGGGGGTTTTGGAAGACAGCGAAAACATAGCCCACAAAAGCTCAAACATAGCCCGAAGAGCACAAACAAGCGCCGCCAGACTGCTCTCAAAACTGTTCTTGGATCTTCCTCCTGTGTGGGGGACAGGCCCGACCTCAGACTGCGAGGAGGTTGAGGAGGAGGGGGAGGAGGAGGAGGAGGAGGAGGAGGCAGGAGGAGGAGGCAGGATGAGGAGGATGAGGAGGAGGAGGAGGAGGAGGAGGAGGAGGAGGAGGAGGAGAGGAGAGGAGGAGGAGGAGGAGGAGGAGGAGGGAGGAGGGAGGAGGAGGCAGGAGACGAGGAGGAGGAGGAGGAGGCAGGAGAGAGGAGGAGGAGGAGGGGGGAGGAGGAGGAGGCTGTCCGGACCCGCCGCGAGGCTCCTCGGAGACCTGCTGGATCTTCGACCGCAGCTCCTGGCGGGCGCGGGGCACGGCGTGCGCGGTGATCTCCGGGGCCGCTTAGACCCGCCCCGGGGCGCGCCTGCACGGCGCAGCACGGGCTCCGGCCGCCCGGCAGCCAGCCGGTGCGGGTGCGCTCGGCCCCGGGCCTGGCCCCGAGCAGGGCGGAAGCCAAGGGGGGGGCGGCTCCAGCGCGGAGCTGCACTGGCGGCCCCTGCCCCGCCCCCTCGGCATCCTCCCCCCCCCCCCCCCCGGCCCCTCTTCCTTCCTCCTCCTCCTCCTCCTCCTCCTCCTCCTCCTCCTCCTCCTCTCCTCCTCCTTCTCCTCCTCCTCCTCCTCCTCCTCCTCCTCCTCCTCCTCCCTGGAAGTCTCTAGAAGCACCTGGAAGGTCAGCCAAGGCTCGAATCCCCAAGAGGCTGATACGAGCGAGAGAGCGAAGAGAGCCAGAGAGAGAGAGAGAGAGAGACAGCGCAACATCCAAACAGTTTGCGTCGAGCGATCCCAGGGAGAGAGAGAGAGAGAGAGAGCGCGCAACAGCAACACTATTAGAAGAACAACAACAACAACCATTTTAAGGCTGTACGCTCTTACTTGCCCGCGAGTCATTCAACACGTATACCCTACACCCTCGATGCCCGCCCTCTTCGTCTTCGATCACACCCCTTTCGGGGGGATTATTTCTCTTTGCTGGGGCCGGCGGGCTTAGACGTACGGGCAAACCGGAACGGGCGGACAATCCTTCGGGGGCGTACATCTCTCTGCCCGCCATTGGAATTGGCGCGGGCCCTGCAAGAGGAGGAGGGGAAGAACGAGGGAGAGTGGGAGGAAGGGGAGGGGGAAGGACGAAGGAAGAGGGAAGATACCACGTTGTGAAGGCGTCCTTGGCGCGTGCGTGGTTCCTGAGCGCCGAAACGCAATTCCAGAATAATTTGTGAGGACGTCGCACGCGAGAGCGCAGTCCTGAGTACATTGTGAGGAAATCTCATGCGGAAGCGGGGGCCCTGACTAAGTTGCGAGGAAGTCTCAAGCGGGAGCGCCGTTCCTGAGCAAATTGCACGGAAGTCTCAGGCGGGAGCGGGGGTCCTCACTAAATTGCGAGGAAGTCTCAAGCGGGAGCGTCGTTCCTGAGTCAATTGCGCGGAAATGTCAGGCAGGAGCGGGGGTCCTGAGTAAAGTTCGAAGAAGTCTCGGGCGGGAGCGCCGTTCCCACGTAAATTGTACGGAAGTCTCAGGCGGGAGCGGGGGTCTTGATTACATTGCGAGGAAGTCTCAGACGGGAGCGCCTTTCCTGAGTAAATTGCGCGGAAGTCTCAGGCGGGAGCGGGGGTCTTGAGTAAAAATCGAAGCAGTCTCAGGCGGGAGCCGTTGTTGTTGTAGCCCGGGGGGCAGGGGCACAGTTTGAGCAGGAAGACTTTCCTTGAGAAAAAACAAAGTGCGAGCCCCGGGGGTGGCACTTCAATCGAACAAAAATCAATGTGCACCGGTGGGGGGGATCAACAATAATTATTCTTCAAGAATGAGAGTTCAACACCAACAACAACAACAGCAACAACAACAGCAACAACAACATCAGCAGCAGCAACAACAACAACAGCAACAACAACAATAACAACAACACCAACAGCAACAACAACAAGAACAACAACAGCAACAACAACAAAAACACCAACAACACCAACAACAACAACACCAACAACAACAACCCCAACACCAACAGCAACAGCAACAGCAGCAACAGCAGCAACAACAACAATAACAACAATAACAACAAGAACAACACTAACAATAACAACAACAACAACAACAACAACAACAACAACAACAACAACAACAACAACAACAACAACAACAACAACAACATGTTTGGCGCTCCGCGCGGATTTCTTGGATCTGCGCTGGGCACCCCTCCCTGGCGCGCGGAGCGCGCCAGGGGCGGCGCCGGAGGCGCCGCCGGGGGGTCCCAGGCGCGGATCCGAGAAGTCCGCGCGGAGCGCCACAAGTTTATGTTTATGTGTTTTTGATTGTTCTTCTTCGTCTTCGAGAGAGAGAGAGAGAGAGAGAAAAAAAAGAAGAAGAGAGAGCAACAGCAACAAACTAGTTTTTCTTATGTTTCTTCTTCTTATTCTTCGAGAGAAAGAGAGAGAGAGAGAGAGAGAGAGCAACAACAACAAAACAGTTTGCGTCGGGTGGTCGCGGTATGCCGTCGCCTCTTGTCCAAGGCGCGAGAGGCGGGACAGATCCACGGAGCTCCGGAGGGAGGGCGTGCAGAGCGGGTCGGGAGCCCTTCTCCCCAACTCTAGCACAAACCCAACCTGCCCGATGGAGTACAGTCGAGGTACTACCAGAAGGAACGCCAAATAAGGAACAAAGGGGCTTTTCTGGCCACGGTGGGCCCAGGCCACAAGCAAACCCTGCGACATAAATCTAAGAAACGACCCAAATCCCCGAGCCCCTTCCGAACCCAACGCGATCTTTATTTCAGCGTCTTGGCTGGAACATTTTGTTTCTTAAGGGACTCCTTGAGCTCGAGCTGCCGGCCTTTGTCCTGCATCCAGGTGCAGCCGTCGTCGCCCCCCGCCCCACCGTCTGGTGTGCGAGGGGGGACCTTAGGGAAACCGGCTCGACGGCCGTCGACGGGGCCAGCGAGCGGGAGGAGAAGGAGACGACCCGAAGGGGGAAGCAATGGTGTGCCTCCCCTCGCCTAGGCGGCCACATGCACATGTGAACACTCCCCCCACTCCCCACGATTTCTACGTGTGTGGGGGGGTTCACTTCGTTCGGGAGCTCCCGAACGAAGTGAGCCCCCACCCTGCCCTTCAAAGTCGTGGGGTCGGGGGAAGGCTTCACATGTGGCCATCGACCTCCGCCTCCTCCCCAGGGAAAAATCTCTGGAAGCGCCTGACGGTCCACACCAGCACATGCTCCACACCCGTGCCGCTGGGCACGGAGTGGGCCAGGTCCTGGGCCCACATTCGGGAGCGGCCAAGAGGGGGGTGTCCAAGAGGGGGGGATGCAAATCATGACCGGCGGCATGTGCGCGGCCCAGCGGGGGGGCCAGGGACGTAATAAAATAAGAAGAGGCGCCACGAAATCTCAGGAGATATCATGGCCCGCGCCATGATATCCAACCCCCCCTTGGTCATCACCCCCCTCTTTTCCGCCCCTGACACATGGCCCGGACTCCAAATTTACAAATCCCCCGGGCTTGCCGCGTGCCCACTGCGCTCCCCCGCACCCTGTCGCGTGACGAGTTCGGGCCAAAGAGGGCCCCAAGACGGGCCAAGAGGGCCCCCAAGGAGCCCCCACGACGGTCCAAGAGTGGCCCACGTCGCCGAGCGATCGCTCCAAGACGCTCAAGATGGCCCCCAGACGGCTCAAGAGGCCTCCAAGACGCACAAACGGCATCCAGGAGGCATCCCAAGAGGGCCCCAAGAGGGAGGCCAACGTCGTTGACTCCCCCTCGGTTTTTGAAGGATGTTGGCGTTCTCCCCTTTTCAGCTTCCCGTGCCCCCAGACGGCCCTAGAAGCCCCCAAGACCGCCCCAAGACGGCCCAAGAGACCTCCAAGAGGGCCCCAAGACGGCCTAAGAGGCGCATCCAAAAACGGCCCAAGAGAGCCCCGAGACGGCCCCCTGAAGGGGCCCAAAAGAGTGAACACGAACTGAAGAACCGAGCCTTCCGCCCCAAGATGCTCCCAGGAGGCCGCAAGAGGCGCCCAGAAGGCCCCACGAAGCCCCTTTAGAGGCCCCCTAGAGGCCTCAAGAGGCTCCCAAGAGCCCCCCAAAGAGGCCCCAAATATGCCCCCCAAAAAGCTCCCAAGAGGCGTCCAAACTGCCTCCATGATGCCCCCGAGATGCCTCCCACGAGATCCCAACGAACGTCCAGTAGGATGCAGACCATCATACCCACAAGCCAGGCACGGTGGAGGGTTGGGCCGCGGGGCCCACTCAGGTCTGCCCCCCCCCCCCCCCCGTAAAACATTGACCTCCTGGATTGTCCTGGGGTGCGTTTTGACCGGGGCCAACCGCGACGACGACCCTCCCGAACGCCCCCAGGGGCAAAACTGTCATTCGCTTCCGCGCCTGGGATCAGGGGGGCCAGAATCACCCCCCGTCCCGAGTCTTGCCCTGGGATGCGCTTCAGTCAAAATCCCGAATCCGAGCCAGCCGTGGCGACGAGGAGCCTCCCGGCGGCCCACGAAGGGCGCAAAACGTCCTCAGACTTCGATCCAGCCACGTTGGTCCTTTTGCCCTTATCCTCCTCCTCCTCCTCCTCCTCCTCCTCCTCCTCCCTCCTCCTCCTCCTCCTCCTCCTCCTCCTCCTCCTCCTCCTCCTCCTCCTCCTCCTCCTCTCCCTCCTCCTCCTCCTTCTCCTCCTCCTCCTCCTCCTCCTCCTCCTTCCTCCTCCTCCTCCTCCTCCTCCTCCTCCTCCTCCTCCTCCTCCTCCTCCCTCCTCCTCCTCCTCCTCCTCCTCCTCCTCCTCCTCCTCCTCCTCCTCTCCTCCTCCCTCCTCCTCCTCCTCCCTCCTCCTCCTCCTCCTCCTCCTCTCCTCCTCCTCCTCCTCCTCCTCCTCCTCTCTCCTCCTCCTCCTCCTCCTCCTCCTCCTCCTCCTCCTCCTCCTCCTCCTCCTCCTCCTCCCTCCTCCTCCTCCTCCCTCCTCCTCCTCCCTCCTCCTCCTCCCTCCTCCCTCCTCCTCCTCCTCCTCCTCCTCCTCCTCCTCCTCCTCCTCCTCCTCCTCCTCCTCCTCCTCCTCCTCCTCCTCCTCCTCCTCCTCCTCCTCCTCCTCCTCCTCCTCCTCCTCCTCCTCCTCCTCCTCCTCCTCCTCCTCCCTCCTCCTCCTCCTCCTCCTCCTCCTCCTCCTCCTCCTCCTCCTCCTCCTCCTCCTCCTCATCCTCCTCTCCTCCTCCTCCTCCTCCTCCTCCTCCTCCTCCTCCTGCCCCTCCTCCTCTTCCTCCTCCTCCTCCTCCACCTCCTCCTCCTCCTCCCCCTCCTCCTCTTCCTCTCCTCCCCTCCCCCT